AAGAGTGGGGTGGGCACAGCTATTTGCACAGTTGATGTCCCCTGCCTCAGGCTAGGCAAGTAAATAGGTACTCCTGGGTAGACGCTGCACATATAGGGTTTGTTTGCAGTAGCACTGTCACCACTGCATCTCTGGAGGTGAAGGTGGAGTCGATGGAGCCAGCTCACTATTGGATTTGTCCCAAGTGCCCCCAAGAAAGGGGGCGAGGCTCTTTGGTGGCAAAGGAAGGCAGCAAAGTCACCTCAATGGCTGGTGATGTTGCACTTGGGCTGTCAGATATTGTGTGGGCAGGCCACTCTCCTGAAAGCCCATTAGATCCATATCTCCCCACCTCCCAATTCACCATAGCTGTCAACTTTTCCCTTTTCTTGCGAGGAATCCTATTCGGAATAAGGGAATTTCCCTTTAAAAAGGGGAAACGTTGACAGCTATGCAATTCACTGGGACCCTCTCCCAGTTCAGAGTTCTCCTTGGGTTCCAGTTTCCTGTCCCCCAACCTGCTAAGGTCAGCCTCCTCCATTTCTCCTCCATTGCTGCCCACCATCCAGCCACCCGCTCCAATATATCTCCACACGACACATGCCTTTCATTGAATGTGACATTGAACGTTGTATATTTTTAATGTAGGATTGTTTAACTCTTAGTGGTGGGAAATAGCTTACATGATGGTTCAGCATCTGATTATGTATCACTGAGCTATTCAAAACCAAAATTAACAAGCCAAGTCCAACTGTCCACAGCGCTCCCCATCCCCCTTGCTCTCACCCCTATGTAATGACAGCAATATACAATCTGGTAGCATGAGCCATCAATATAACTGACAGGCAGTTGCCCCCTCCCCCCCCCCGGGTGTTCAGTGATTAAGAATAAGAAAACCATGACTAAGGTCTAAAGGCTGGGATTTAGTTAACTGCAGCTGTGGGAATTTAAGTCATAAAAATATCTTGGCTTCTCAAAAAGGAGAAAAGCTGTATAATTTGCAGCTGGAGATGAATATGATTATTTGGCATGCAAATGCAGCTTGTCAGATTGAAGTGGCCGTCATCAGCAGAAATGATAGTATTAAACGCTAGCCAGTTATTCTTGTTTGGTGCCTCTGCGCTTGCTACAAGTGCTTCCCGTCGACAGGAAATGGGAGGGGAAGCAGGAAGGAGGCAGAGAGATGGAAAATCAAACAGGAGAGGAATCAAGAGACTGAGCTGCAAGCAGAAGGGGGGTGCAGATAGAACAGCCCCTGATTCCTCACCGAAAAAGTGGACACAGAACCTGCATAAAATGTGAATATGTTGAGATGCAAATTTAGAAATAATTATTATGATTTAAATAGAAATACAATGCATCTCACCATGGGGGAGAAGACAGTGACTGGTGTTGGCCTGTGTGCCTGCTCAGTCTGCCAGCATTTGATAGGCAGCTTCAATGTCCATTCTGCTCTTTCTTCTTAGAGTTCTTTATCTATAAAGCAGACTTCAAACAGAGGACTTTCCTCTGTAAATTAGAACACATGGCCATCTAAGGGACAGAGTCTGCAGCGGAATGAGAAGCAGGAATATGAAGGAGAGGTGGTGGATGAGACAGATGCCAGGGAAAAAGAGGGGAGAAGAAGAAGCCAGTGAGGACTGAGGGAAAGTGGACAGGCAGTGAACTTTCGAGGTCCTGGGCCCAAGAGATAAGAAAGGAGCAAAGAGGGCAGCAGTGGAAATGTTCAGATTTATCTATTGATATGAACTATGCAGGCCAATCTGTCTATCCTATCTAATGGATACACTTATGAAGTTTGACTTTATTTATTTACTTGCCTAGCAACTTTGCATAATATATCCATGTATTCAAAGCATTTGACATTTGAGGCAAGTGCTGAGGTGACAGAAGGTGTAGAGAAGTAGTGAGAGCAAGTCCTTGAGACCCTCAACAATGGCACAAAATGAGTTAGAAAAACTCAGGCCTGTGGGCTAGCAGGGTGTTTGCAGGTTCGGAGTGTAGAGGGCTAAGTGACTTGTCCAAGTGACATCTATAGAGACCCAGCAGCTGGCACCACATTATGCTATTCTTAGTTCCTCAACATATTTGCTAGTCTGCCATCATTATATCTTTTTAAGCTCTGGCCACATTCCTTGACAACTGGTATCTGTGAATCCTGGATGCTTAGAGTCTTTCTTCTAGGAATTCAAAAGCAAATGCAGCATCTGGACTTGCGTTGAGATAGTCATTTTTTCCATTTCCCCAGTTTCAGACAAAACTAAAAGTTTCACATTTATTCAGATGGATTTGCCACTGGGCATGTGTTCTCTCTGATTTCCATCACCATCTCTCCCTCTCCCTTGCACTCTCTCTCTCTCTCTCTCAAGCTGACCAGTTGCATTTGTCTAAAAGGATTTCAAATCAAGCTGATATAAAGAAGGTGACTGCATCATGTTTGGAAGCTGCACCAGAGTTTAGATGCAATATTTAAATGCAGAGTTTAGTATGATGTAAAAACAATGCATAGTGTAAGGAGCAAGTCCGATTTAACGTTTTTAAATAGTGGAGATCAGTTAAGATCAGCTCTGAAAACCTAGCTCTGCAGTATGGTTGATTTTTAACTGGGAAAAGGCCAGCTATGGATGGCTAGAAATCTTCACATCCCTAGGGCTGCAGTCCTGTACACAAACTTTCCTGGAAATAAATCTCATCGGCTACATTTGCATGTGATGCTCATCCATAAACTATTGTGTACTAAGTTATTAGTTAGCATCAGATGTGTGTGAATGACTCATGAAGGGTTTTGCTTAAGAGGTCTCAACTCATGCTCATAGCTTTTTTTGCTCTAACAGACTGATGCACATAGAGACCTATAAACTCAGCTAACTAGCCAGGCTAGAGGCCTTGTGCCTTATCTTGTGCTTTAGTCCCAAGGTTGTAAACAACATTACAGAAATGTCAATTTTGCTGCAAGACCACATTTGATAAACCAACAATAAGTCAGTGTTTGTTAGCATGAAACCAACTGCAATCCTGGGTTTGGATGCCACACCAAGCTAAATTCTTCATTGTTTGTTTACCCACTTGTGCAAAAGCAGAAGAGAAGTGGAATGCACAGTATTTCATACTAATAGCTTTTGGCTTAGCATTATGAGCAATTTTACACATTGAGTTATTAGACACAGCTAGGATAGCACTGCAACATACCTCTCCCTGCAGCAGATACTCTTTGTTTTAATAGTTGCAAGGTTTATTAGAGAAACAACAGGATGAGGTGGACAGATGACATGTCAATGAATAAACACAAATGTGGTGCTTAAAAAAAAAGTTGGACAGCCCACCTGAAGCATGGAGTGAGAGGCACAAGGCAAAATGCATGGCTGATCCAGAGCTTGACTTCCTGGCTATGCCCGTCATGCAAATGGCAAAGCCATCTTTAAATTTTATGCTTGGCATTCACCTCGAACTAGACCACCCGGGAGGACTCACCTGGTGCCTTCATTGCATATCTTTAGGTGCCAGGCAAAAATGTTCCTCTTCTCCCAGGCCGTTGACTAATTGAACCATCTATAGCGTTTTAAACTGGGGGTGGGGTATTGTTTTGTTTGTTACTATGGTATGTATTTTGTGTTTTGTATCGCAAGCCACCCTGTGATCCTCGGATGAAGGGCAGTATAGAAATTTAATAAATAAACAAATCAAAATAAACCAGCCCAATGCTTAGGTCTTGCTGGTTCCTACAGTGTGTACTTCCTACCAGCTGGATTAACTAGAACAGGGTGTGATTTTTCCAACCGTTAAGTCACACATATCAGTTCGCAGGAACTTTTCAGGAACGTGGGCAGCTAGTTCCTTCATGATTGTGACACTCCAGCTACCAAGTGGCACAGACAACGAAATGTCACTGCTGTTGCTTCTTGTGTGAATGCAACATTTCCCTTTTTATAGCTAGAGCTGCTCTTGTCAATTTCGTAATGGGCTGAGCAGAGGAATGGCATGGGAGGGTGCTTTTACCATTCACATACACAGTGCAGGGCTAAGCCCTTTAACTCCTATCCGTGCCATGCAATGGATGTGAATTAACTTGCCCTTTCAACCACTACTGCTTCATCATCCCTAGGATTAAGTACAGTTCTGGATTTTATATCAAAGTGGTAAAATGAAAATTATTAATGAAACTTATTATTAAGTAAATCTCAGCTATTAAAAAAAAGAAGCAACTTCTTGCACACATGGAGATCCAGGTTCAGAAGGCTCTCCACAGAAGGTTTGCTCAGTCAGTAGCGCATAAGACTCTTAATCTCAGGGTTGTGGGTTTGACCCCCACATTGGGTGAAAGATTCCTGCATTGCAAGGGGTTGGACTAGATGATCCTCATGATCCCTTCCAACTCTATGATTCAAGCTTCAAGGTACAGGAGGCCTCCCTTTCATGTCTTCTGTCATCGATGGCAACCCCATAACTTTTCTTCTTGGTAATTCCAGTGTTTGGGTCCTTTGCTATTGTTATGGTGATATTCTTCACATGCTAGTCCAACTTCAGTGGACATAAAACCATTAGGGAAAGGCATGCTAGTTGCAAGTTCCTCCTGAAATCTATTGTTGCTTTCATCAGCTGTTGATTGTTCAAGCCAAGATCATTTGTGTGGAGCTGCTTTTCATAAGATTGTCGTGTAATTTGTTCTCATGTATCTATGAAAGTGACATGTTTTAGGATCTGTGTAGAGGCAAGACACACGGAAGTGGTTTATTTACATAGTAAGCTGCCATTGAACAGTTGTTCTCTCAAGGGGCCTCCACATGCTGATCATTATATAGGAAGGTGGCCTCACAGGTGAAATTTGACAAGATACGATAGGTGTTAGTGACTGGAACCTTTTAATATAACCTCAGGCATGCACATTTATACCTTTTTAAACTAAACATTGCACAAAAACTAATGATCGTGCAAAAGCAGAGCTTTGTGGGTTGCACTCTTATTATTTTCTACTCCTCTCCTTTAAATTTACCTTCACTCTTTCTTTTTCCCTTTTCCTGCAGATCTCTGTCTGGGCGTATAGTTGGTGGGGTCTGGTGGTTTTTCACCTTGATCATCATCTCTTCTTACACCGCCAATCTAGCTGCGTTCTTGACAGTAGAGAGGATGGTGTCTCCCATAGAGAGTGCAGAAGACTTGGCCAAGCAAACAGAGATTGCTTATGGGACTCTGGATGCTGGGTCTACTAAAGAATTCTTTAGGGTAAGAGAAATTAGTTCTGACTTCACTATACAAAAGCAAGAGTCTCGTGCTAGCTCAGGAAATGCAGCACACGCGGGGTCTGCCAGATACCATAAATACTCCAGAAGCACGGCATAATTACACGCTTCCACAGATTACTGAGTAATTACACTTAGCAGCATCAAAAGTAATTACCCTGTGACTTGCAGCTCAGGTTTAGAGAATAATAAGTACTTGGTTAGCTCTGTAATTTAATGGGACCATTTGCCCGATGTAAATACATTGGTGTTACACTCAAGGGGAGCTTATGTGGCAAGGCCCCCTCCTCCAAAGTGCACTTCCTTTCAATGGTCTAATGCCCCCTGTTTCTCACTTCCCTCAGCCAGCCCACTCCATTTATGGAGTGCAGTGCAAATGTGACACTTCAATCGCTCCTACTGTTCATCACATGAGGCTGTATAATATTGAATCCCACCATTGGAGTACTGTCTACCTGCAACAGGTTTTCAGAAGTCTTTCCCAGCCCTGATATACCAGTTCACAATTACTGGCGATTCCAGTGATTGAACCTTGAACCTTCTGCACTGCATATCATGTATTCTGCCACTGATTGATGGCCTCAATGCAGTGCTAGTTGTAGGAGTTGCGTTCCTAGCCTAGTTCCTAGTATTTTGCCAGAGCATTTGCATCTTTAGCTGCAAATCCCTCTTTCATTCCATTCAGCCTAGTTCTTGTTCCCTCAAAGGTGCCCTTGCAATCACAGAAACAACAGCAGAGGCCTAGCTGCGTAGCGCCAACAATCCATGCAATACGTTTCGCCCCATACTCACCACCTATTGGCAGGGATTGTGTGGAGGCCGTTCACCTCTATGAATCAGCCCCCAGCCCCGAGTCCTTTCTTCTCCCTACCTATGCAATGTGTGGGCAAGCAGCCCAGCAAAATGTGTGTCTTCCTTGGTGTATGAATCTCTGCTCTATTAACACATGCTAAGAGCAGTGGATTTATGCTATTCTGGACAGAGATCTAAAATAGCGGTTTTTGAGAAGATGTGGACGTACATGAAGTCAGCTGAGCCCTCTGTTTTCGTGCCGACAACAGAAGAGGGGATGAAGCGTGTGAGGAGATCCAAAGGGAAGTATGCCTACCTGCTAGAGTCTACCATGAATGAGTACATTGAGCAGAGAAAGCCATGTGACACCATGAAGGTGGGAGGTAACTTGGATTCCAAAGGCTATGGCATTGCAACGCCAAAAGGTTCACCACTGAGGTAGGTAGACTGAATGTGTTACTCCTTTAACTGTGGCCCAAGCAGTCAAAGCATCCATAAATGTGCCTCCAGACTCAATTACCACAGTATACAGATAATGATACTCAGGGTGTGGGTGGGAGATGTGAACTGCTGGACTGCTGCTTAACAGTGAAGCCAGTTTGTCAAGGACTGCTTCCCCCCCCCCCTTTTGCAATGACTTCACTCCCTATGTTTTAATTGATTGTAACTGGGTATTTACAGCTGGCGTTGTGTGGCATACTGGCTACTAATTAACAAAGCAATACTTTGACGCAGCTTGCTTGATTTATGGTGCATGAGAGTTGTGCAATATGTATTACAGTCCTTGTTTGGATTCAAACTTTAAAAAAGGGGGATTCTACCGGTAAAAGTGTTTCAGTGTGTGCATGTCTGAACAAAGAGATGCAAATCTGTGTAGGGCGAATAAATGGAAAAGCTAAGTGTTTTCCTTTTAGCTAGGCAACAAAACAGCTCAAAGGTTCTTATGCTTAGCTGGTTACCCTTAGCAACCAAGACCTAGTTGGTACAAGGTACTGGGCCAAAGTGTTGCAGAGGAAGGCATGACTAGACAGCATGCACGCAGCATACACACAAATGGAATGCACAACAGCCACACAGTACAAGCGACAAGCTGAACAGAAAACACTCACACAATAATGTTCCAGTGCATTAACCACGCACCAGAAACACTTTGCAGCATGTTATTATCCACACAATTCTCTTCATTTCTATAGTGATCAATGACGTGGCATACATGACTTGATTCTCTCACCTACACTCCAATACCAGGGCAAGGCAGGAATTGTGTGCCGCTGCAGGGTTTGGGTCTGGATGTGAGTCTTATGTTTTAAAGGAGAACAACATTTGCTGAGGGAGATTGCTATTGTCCTTTTTAAATTGAGATTTTAAAAGAATCCTGCTGTGCCAAAATCTTTAGTGTATATTGAAAAAGCTGCGGCATTTCTTCTGGGGAAAAAAATGAAAACAGAAAAATGCAAAGGTTGATTTATCCTGTTCTTCAAAATATCCTCTGTACGAGGAAAGGTGAGGAGAGGAGAGGGAGACAAATATGGTTATTCTTAACATGACTTCCCAGCTCAATAGAAACAGCCAAGGGAGGACACTTTGTTTTTCCATTTGGTCTGATGGTGCTTCTTTGGAAAATATGGTCTCAGTTTCCCTTCCCATAATGTTTGTTGTGTGTGGTCATTTTAACTGTTTAAACTAATATTATATGCTCTTCAGTCACCCTGTAGCATCTCTCTGCACTATTGCAGGAGAGCAGTCCAGGGAATGTATTCTGTTCTGTGATTGACTCTATTCTTGTTTCTATCAGAGTCCACAGACATTTGGTCACTGAAGTCATTGGGATCAGAATCAGTTGTGTGTGGAAAACATTAGGCACTATTTACCACAACCACCACCCAAAACAACGTCAACATGTCTATAAAAACAGTCCCGCAACACAATTCAGGCATTAAGAATAGTAAACACTAAGCAATTACCGTATTTATTTATTGCATTTATACAGCACCTTTTTCTCCAAGAAGAACACGATGCCATATACAGTTCTCCCCCTCCTCATTTGATCCTCTCCAGCTGAGATCAGACAGGCCCCTTCCTACTGCACTTCTGGTGCTAACTGTGGACATTTTAATTTTATTTTATTTCTAGTTTTGACTGGTGGGGGAGAGGTTTCCCTTTAAAAACAACAGCAAACTGAGTTACTTGTGCACTGCTTAGGGACAACTGTAATTAAATGTTATATAAGTTGTTTAAATAAATAAATAGACAGAGAAAAGTAGAGGAGGCTGGCACAGTTTGGCATTTCTAGAAACAGCAAATTCCACTGCTCCACAGCAGCTACCAAAAGGCACTTTCCAGAGCTGAAAGGTTAGCATGTGAACAGCAGGAGAGAAAGCAGAGTGATGGAGAGCATAGGAGGGAAAGCAGTGTGGAAGGGAAAGGGGACTGGATCTGGCTGGAAAAGGGAGTCGCTGAGGAGAGGTGTCTCAGAGGTCAGAGAGGGCAGAGGGATGGGGTGGGGGAGAGAGAGAGAATTGAATATGGAGTCTGAGAGCAAAGAACTAGTAAAATTGATCCTCTTGAAATTACATTTTTTTTCCCCACTGGTCATCCCCACATGCTTTTATTTTGGTGCACTGAGCATGCCATTTTATATGAATATGCAACATCATCCCATAGAATGAGAAATTTTACTCTTTGTCTTTTCCACTGCTTCATGGCTCGCAGTACTTTTGGAAGTATGCATTTGTGCCTGTGTTTTAACCTATTAATACTAAATAAAAATGAACATTGAACATGCAAAACGTATTGGGGGAACCCAATGACACATAATAAGTGTGTAATCCAGGGAATGTAAATGAGAAGAGGAGAAACTTTTACTCTCTCTCTCTCAGATAGATAAATAGATCTCTCTCTCTCTCTCTCTCTCTCTCTCTCTCACACACACACACACACACACACACACACAAAACTAGAAAGAGAAGTGAATCAGGGGAGGTAGGCGTGTATTCTGTAATTGGCTTTCTTTCTCAAAGTGGTAACCTTTAAGCAAAGCTCCCCAGAGGCCCATAAACTTGTATGTCAATTATTCCAAGTCATTTAAATGAATAAAAGTGTTCCTTGTCAAAGATCCAACAAAACTAACACACTTCAGAGGAAAATGTGCCAGCCAACTCTGTTTTTCATCAAGGATTCTGTGACTGTAAGATATTGAAAGATGCTGTATGAGCTGCAGAGGAGAACCAATTACTTCAAACTTAGTCTCTTAAGGGGAGAAAAACATGGAACAAACAACCTGAGTACTGCAGAATGATCTGTACTTAAAGAACAACAAAGAGTTTGTTGGGCTTTATAACGCCGTATTACCCACGCAGGAATTAAAATATTATTTCAGTTCACCGATTACTACATCTTCTTAGATTGCTAAACAATGACTGTACAAATGAGGCTGTGTTCCACTTTAGAATACAGATATAATCATCTGTGTTGCATCATCGCTGCTTGAGCTTAAATACAGCTCACACGCTCAGTGCCCAACATGTGATGTGTCAAATGTGACTCAGAAGTACAACATGTAATACATGCAAGGGTCCCAGCAAAACACCACACAGAATCTTTGTTCATTTCTTTCAGCAGCACAGTACAGTCCCAGCAATTCCAGTTCTTCCTTCCACCACCACCACCCGCCCCCAGTAGCAGTACTCTTTGTACAGGTGGGAACGCCAGATTGGTGGTGGCAGCAGTCCTGCCACTGCAAGCGCACAACCCTGACACCACAGCCATTCCAGCAGAGAAGCCAGTGTTCAAAGGGCATCTGTGCAGCTCTGCTGCACCACACATGCCACCACTGCTTCGTTTCTTTCCACTCCATGCAATGGGACTAACCCACAAGAGGAAATGGGAGCCCCTTGCAATGGATCATTTGATCAGCCTCAGGTGTGCAGTCTCTCCCCCCCCCACACACACACACATTGATATAAATATGCACTGTTTCTATAGAGGCAGTGGAGTTCAAACAGCAGGGAGTGAGATGAGAGAGAGAGACTACCTGACACAAAATTACACCCCAAATGTAAATTGCATAATGCACAGAAAAGTATACTTTTTCTACAACTGAGACACAAAACTTTTGACTCCTGAGTATGCTAAAGCTATCCAATATGAGAAGTAAGGCAGCAGTATCTACCTTCTTTCTCAGAGGCTTTAGACTACAACTTCCATCAACCCCACCATTGACTGTGCTGGCTGGGGTTCATGGGAGCCGGAGTCCAACAATACTTGGGCATCGCCAGATTAGGGAAGGCTGGTCTAACTGCACCAGTTAAAATTGTTGATTATCCTAGGACCCCCCAAAAAACAGCACTTGCTGAAGGAACCTATGCAGATTATTGTGTTGTTTGAGCTGTTAGAACTTTATTATGGTTTGATTCTTTTTGCATATCTAGAACATTATATGCCTTATCTTCTATAATATAAAATCAAGACTACTTCCAGCCTCAAACACTAAACATTTTAAAACCCCAACAAATCCCTCTAACACTGTTATCTAAAAACATAACAACTGACAGCAGATCAGCAGATCAGCATTAGGAAGTGCTGGAATAAAAAAGCGCCATTACGTTTCCATAGGAGGTGGGGAGGGGAAAAGGACCATTATATAGACCAGGCTTCCTCAATCTTGGCCCTCCAGATGTTTTTGGCCTACAACTCCCATGATCCCTAGCTAACAGGACCAGTGGTCAGGGATGATGTGGATTGTAGTCTCAAAACATCTGGAGGGCCGAGTTTGCCTATGCCTGATATAGAATGTCTGGCTTTGGTCCGGGCACAATTTCACACTACAGGATAATAGAATCTGAAGGAAGACCTCCACAGCTAATTTCACAGATAACAAAATATACTTCCCAAGATATGCTGGAATGTTGCCTTTAAATCAAGAGCTAGGCAGCATGGCTTAAAACAAGTCTCATGATTTCACTGTCCAAAAATCTACACTAGGTGTTTCCAAACCCTTCAGGACGTTTTGCACATGAAATGCGTTGCATTTATCAATCATTTAGGTTGCCATTTTTTTAAATTACAGGTATAGCCTACAAGGAGTTCAAGACAACATATATGGTTATGCTCACAACAACCCTATGAAGTAGATTAGTCTGAAAGTCACCCAGTGAACCTCATGGCTAACCACGTCACTGCTGATGCAGATGTACGGATGACCAAGCAGATTCCTGTCTTTCAGGAAAGGTTAAAGGAGACAGGCCAGATGCAGTAGATCAAAAGAATTTGACACTGCAAGCAATAGCTCCAGACCCCATATATCCATCCTGCCACTGGGGTGCCTAGGCAGTTTTATCATATTTTCCATGGAATCCTCATGGGGTGCTATTGGTGGCTTTTAAAAAATGGGACCCCTCATCAAGCAAACTGTGCCAGGGCATAACTGAATACAGGGAGCAGAAGAGAATTGCATTTTAAGACTCACCAGCACAATTGAAAGGAATTGTAGCACCAATGCACATGGAAAATAAAGAGATGGCACTGTACAACTGTCACCCTTCCTAACTTCCCTTCCATCACCATCCTCTTCCATCCCACTCCTGCAGTTTGATGTGTCCAGTCATGCAACCCCATTTAATCGACAGCACTGCTGCTATAACTCTGAACAATGATGGGAAAATAAACTGTCCATCACAAAATAGTCTGTGAAACAGTGTCTTCTTTAGAGCATATTTAACATAGCATAGCTATATAGGATCTGTCCCATTGACTTCAATGGCATTCCAAACATTTAAATCTGATGAGGATCTCTTCCTGTTTCTGTTTTTCTATGTCATGTGAAATGTCTGAAGTGTTCTTTCTCAGTTGTGTGTTGATTTGAACATGTTACGCTTCTTAAATTGATTAAATGTTTATTTCCCCCCTTTTTCTGTTGCTTAACAAGAGATTTATTACTGACCGTTTTTATATGTCTTTTGTGACATGAGGATCACTCAGGAGGAATAGGCGAGCCAGACTCCCCACCCCCATTTCCAAATTATTATCTACGTATCTCATTTCTTTTTTATTTTTATTGTTTGCAAAAGGCCAAATTGTTGAGCCGCAGCTGCAACTAGACAAAATGACACTTCTACCGCTCTTGTACTTAATTCTTTCCAAAGGCAACCCTATGCGAATGCTTGGAAATAAAATTGCCTATTGCATCAATTCAGGTGCTGTAGAAGATGGGCATCCCGTGTGAGCAGCTGGGCCTTAAAGCAAAGCAAACTTTGCAATTCTGTTCTCTATAGCAACTTTCTGCACTGCAAAAATTCCCAATCGCAGAGAATGCTATGACCCCGGCCCCCTTTTCTTTTCTAATTGCAAGGGAGACAAAAACCCAGTTGGGGGAGAATACGAGAACAGACTGACGGGTGCTGGTTCACCGATCCCTTGTTGTCACATGAACTTTCCGAGTGTTCTCCGCCTGTTACTCATCGAGTGTTATCTATTCATTTTAAAGAAACCCAG